GGCAACCTGTTCCAGTACCTCACTACCCTCAATGTAAAGAATTTCTTTCTTATATCTAACCTAAATCTGCTAATGTAGACAATATATATATTAGTAGTAGTATATAGACAATATATATATTAGTATTATTATATATATATTAGTAGTTTATATATACTACAGTATATTATCTGTGAAGATTTTATTTAGAAAAACACTAGAGAAAGCTGAAATTGGAGCTGGTCAGGATTTCATCACTAAATCTTTAAAACAGTCATAAAGGGTTTTGCAGACACTTAATGAACTGCACATATGCATGTCCCATACATTGATAGCATAAAAGGTAGCGTAAACAAATACAAATTCAGAAATCTATCAACACAAAATACTTAATACAGTCTTAAAAGGGCATGAAAACTTGATGCTTAAGCCACAACTCACATTTGCAGTAACGCACAGGGCTTTATTTATTTGCAGTTATAAACAGGGCTTCAGGCTGTGTTAGCAACCATAGCAAAGAATGCAAGTTGTTTGCTAAACGGGAAAATGTGTTTAAATATACAGAATGTTAGAAATTACCTCCTCAGGTATTATACATTACCTAGCTCAGCTTCTATGCTATTTTTGAAAGTAGACAGAAAATTGAGTTCAAGAACTATATCCATTTCTGATCAGTCTTATTTTGTCTTAAAAAAGCATAATACTATAATAAAGCAACCATATACTTAAACTTTAACAGAGTACAAAAAGTCCAGTTCAGTATCTACCTTGCTAAGCAACTCCTATGGGTTACAAGATTTGCCAGAATTTCTGCTTTCACTACTAGTGATGTATTCAAACTGATTAACATCGAATATCCTAAGAAAATCAGCTGCCTTAAAATTAGGACAGGTATAAAACACTAGCAAAGATAAACCATAACATCCGGAATTATAATATACCATATTAAGGTATCCTATCCATTATAAAGCATCTAATTAAAAAAGGAAATTAGTCTTGTGTTTCTCTCTTGAATGACAGAAGAGAGAACTTTTGGTAATATACTTGGGAGAGAAACTGAGAGCCATAAGCTTTCAAAAGAAAAAACTACTAGCATTTTTCCTAGAGGATCAACACTACAGATGGTAACTATAGGCCCTATGATCTAAGAAGATACACCAAGAGAAACAGGTATTACCTGAGGTAGGTTACCTCGACAGGCGCAACATACTAATTTACAAATGTGTACTCTGTGATGTTACTCTTGTAACAGAAAAATTCTATACACTTTAGCATGCTGCTGAAGTTTCTTAATTTTATTAGACCTTGTCATTGAGAAAGAAATCCATGCTAAAGTAATCTTTTTTGATTAGTTTTCCAGTTGGCTAGAAACATTACTTATGTCAGTTATTTACCTCCATGCTTCAGTGTGCAGTATCAAATGAAACTGATTTCTAATTAAACCAGGAATCCACCAATCCTATTATCCTGCACTTTTATTCTGCTGAAAATGAAACTTGAAAAATCCAAGTCCTTCATCACCGCCTGGATATGGTGCTGATGCACTAAGTTTCCAAAAATAGATCATGTACAGAATAAACATATGCTTTAAGGTGCACTATGGTTTTAATGGTTACCAAGCAACACAGAGTGGGTACTGAACACAAATGCCTTCCTCTCAGACACACAGACAAAAAAGTATTATGCGATAACCTCACTTTTTGAGCTCAAAGACAAACGGATTCAAATCCCCTAGACATTAGTCCTACCTCATTATAGGCAGGTATTTAGTGGAATGAACAGTAATTACAAATGCTAATATTCCATAATTTCTCTCCCCAACTACAGACCCAAACAAATATATAACAATGCATAGAAAGTCGAAATCAGGACATACATGAAAACAAGGAAACACCCTGGAAGAAAGGTGAAAGACATGAGCTAAAAACACCACAAATGAGTGCAGTATGATTAAACAGAGAAAGAAAAAAAAGAAATTAGGCAACACACACCAAATAGTATTGCTCTGCATGCTTTTTTAATTACAGCTTTCTCTACTTTTCAGAGATGTTATTTGAAAATATAAGGAAAAAAACTAATTAATACATGCAATTCACACAGCTTATGGAAGAAAAAAAACACAACAGAATGGATTCGCCAGCTCAAGGAACTGGAATGAACTGTTGCTGACTACCTACTCCCTCCAATCACCAAATACGTGAGTGGAGGCAATTTTCAAAAATCTACTTCTTAATAGTAGTAATACCGGCTACTGTGCCTTCATCTCACTGTTATTTATCACTAAAAAGCCATGAAAGTTTGAGTCTGGAGCACTTCTGTCAAGATCTTTCAAATATTGTACCATGTTAATCAAAGAGCTCTAAGGGACAAAATCTCTCACTCTTCCCATGGATCCTCAAGCCACATTAATGAAATTAGCTGCAACTCTGAAATACGTATGCCAAAATGCATACTTGAAGATACTTAGACTTCTAAATTGTAGGTAACTATGACTTGAAGCATTTTCTAATATAGCTAACTCACAAGTACAATTAATACAGATTCTGTATCTTGCAGACATCACGTACAAGGATTAGTAAAGCAGTCAGAAAAGTGCCTCGTGCCACTTAGTTAATACTGACGGATTAAGTTTACTTGAAAAAAACAACGGAGCCATTTTAACTTTTGGTCTTAGGATAAAGTTCCAATGATCATCCATAGTGAGCGAACGGAACAGAAATCACTCTGGGACATGGCAAGCATTAAATGGCATGCAGCAGACTGCCATGGCAATCAAAGTCCATGACCCTCTTCACATCACAGATGTCAACACGGCTGTTTTACAGTATGTGCTCAGATGGGTGGGCCCAGCAGCCTCCTGTTAACAAGGCTGTTGACTATGGCAGTACTGCTGCCTCAAGGGTTTTTTTAAGCTCACAGCAGGACTGCTTTCAGAACAAAACCAGTAAATCCAAGGTATTAAGGGGGATGCTTTCCCATCTAGGCAAGAGTAGTGTCTGAGTAAAGAAAAACAGAGGGTGGAAGAAAAAGGTGAGAGTGATCGACTCATGGGAGAAAGGGAAAAACACTTCCAGTAGGTTCTTCTCCAAGTGGAGGTGTGCAGTGTCTGATTGGCAAGGGAAAATTGATATGTTTAAATGAGATCTTCATGGTGCACATAAGAATGTGCGGTATTAACACACACAACTTTGCTTTTAAAAACAGTTTATATTACAGGTGTTCAATAAATGTTTGTTTTCTTAATTCACTTAAAACCAGAAATCAAAAAATGAATATTCTGAGTCGAGTTAGACTAAAAGTCATGAGCTGCTAAAATTAAGGACTGTATTCAGTCTCCACAGCTTCATAAAATGTTGTATCCTTGCAAGTAAGACATCTGAGATCTGTACATGAAGTTGCCACTGAATCATGCAAGTGTGGATTTCAACAGCATGACCAGGAGAACAAGATGCACGACCTTTTGCAACTATTAGCTCTTCCTTAAGAGTACCATTATGATCAAAGAGTAAAGCCTGGGCATCGTTTTTCAGCTACATTATGTTGCTTGTATACATATGTTATAACTTAAAAATAACATCCAACAACAAATTCACACTTAGTTAAAGCTCAGATTAACAAATAGCAACTAGGTTCATGGCTCAGGATCAGAAAAAATACTTAGAACACAGTTGAAGAAAAGGTCATTCAGTTCAATATATAGATGAAAAGCCAGTCAAACTAGTGCCTTAATTCTATGTCACTGATGTCACATCCAGTAATTTTGCAGAAGTTATCCTGAAAACTACTTCTCCGGGACATCTGTTAGCTGGTTTTCACTATCTCGGGAGAGAAATGGGTAATGTATTTTCTAGGCATGGGCTGGGCATTACAATCAAAGCAGTTTAGAGATACCACACTCAGAAAAAAAAAGCCAGCAAGAGAAACACAGCAACAAACTTCATTTTTCTGTGTGTAAAACACCTACTCGAAAGCTAGGACTGCTTTATTTAATGTCCAGTAACCGTGGAGTTCTGTTCCACAAAACAGAAACTGGATGCCCATAGTAAAATATGACAAGAACATTATGAACTAGTTGAAAACATCTGAACTTGATGAACTCTGTAACTTTTCAAGAACTGGATCATTTAAATCCCTACAATACTTCTGAGGATTCACAACTATACATCGGATATATAGGTATATGTACAACAAAATCTTTATAATCATTCATAATAAAGATGCCTGATACCCTGTACTCTATTAAGTCAGAAAGGAAACAACTTCCTGCAGGTAATTTGTGCTTGCAGATGTGTAGAACATACCTAATTAGAAAGAAAAGTCTGTTTTGAAAATAATCTTTAAAAATACTTTGCTCACTTTGAATTGGATTATTTACATTGTAAGAACACATTCTAGACTTTTCATTGTTTCAGTTCTTCATAGACAATCCTGAAACAATTTCCATGAAATTTGAAATTAATTCTGTAGAATGCCCCAGAAAATAACACTGACACATTTATATTGATTGTAAAGGGAATCCATATCATTATTGTGCACTCCAGCTGTTGTCTCCTGGACATCAACTGCTCCTTGGAAGGGTAACTGCTAATGTGCATGGGAATGGTTTGAATAACCTCTAAAGCAGTGCTTGCTGTATATTTCTGTTTAAGAATACATCCCTTAAATAATATTCTGGAAATCTCACCACCATGCTATTGACTCAGGTTAGTGTTAACAGGGAATGGACCTAGCCGTAAGACACTTACCACAAGGTTACAGCGACTGTGTTGGTTCATAATCTGCTACATGGCTGCACAAACCCAGTGCAAAGCTACGAACGAGCCATTCAGAGTAAGTGGTGACCCACTGTCCCTATTAATTACTCTCTTTTACAGAACCGATACCACTGCCCCTTAATTTAAGAGTACAAGATGGGACTCTGAAGAAAAGAAGATTGCATTGAACCAATGTTTTTCCTTTTTTAAGAGCTGTAGAGAACTTAGGAATCACTAATACCAGTAAGTTGAAACTAGCAAACGTACCTTTACCAGACAATTTGTGTGACCTGGAACAGATCCATTTACATAAATAATGTTATGTTTTGTGTTGATCCTCCACACCTAGGAAACAGAAGAAAACAAGACATTGAGCTCATTTTAGAGACTATTCCCAGTTTTATAAACAGTAGTCCAGCAACGCACAAACTGATTAACTGGAGGTGGTACTCTGGGGAAGACAAATGTTCTGCACAGGCTTAAACTTGCCACAAAATTCAGTCACATGCTACTCTGAGGGTACAGTTTTCTAATGCAGGAGTCTGTTAAATGGTTTTAAAGGGCTTATGATCAGGCTATATTTGGTGGGGCAGATCTTTTGTTCAGCATAACATCAACCAAAGCTCCCAAGTCTCTTTTCCCTCTAACAGCAACAGCTGTTGAAAAACATCACTCGTGACAAATTTGAACAAATATGCTCAAGAAAATGTTACCACGACCATTTGTTAGTTTCTTAATTCTATGAGGTGCTCAACTGAACATGCACATTTTCTGTTACAAAACATTAGTAGCAGAGTTTTAGCTAGCAGAGAGCAGCAGCACACTTTTTGTCAACTAGAGGCTAACACGCCTTTTGTGCAAACTGCAGAGGTTGCCTTCAGAGACAAGAGAATAGTAGCTGTAACAGCCCAGGAACTGCTACAGCTACGTACACATCAGAATCTAGACAGAAACTATACTTCCCTTTTTGCACATAGAAGTGAAGGACCATGATAAAGTTGGGACTTCAGACAACTCAGACTTGGGTTAGGTTTGAACAAGCGGAATAAGCATTAAAACATTAACTGAATGTCACTAAGAGCCTGATTGTTTTCCCACTTCAAAGGCAGAAGACAAAGGACACAGTGAGAAACATACCAGATGTGGAAGAATCACCTGAAATCCCAGTCCCCAAGGACTGCACACACGCAAAGGGAGTTCAGATAATTTTGTAACCCACAAGAAGACAGGAGCACACATTTGCTGCTCTTGTCTTTCTAGCTTGCTTACTTCAAGATGCACCTGTCTGGATTCTGACAGAAATGAGAGACAGTTCGCCACCACAAGACTACACAACTGAGTCCATTGCTTGGCAATAAAACCACTTTATACACACTCTAGTACACTCAGAACTCACCTTTAATCCCAAAGACGTCCTATAGATGTTACCCATTTTACCAGGCATTTTCTTTCCGCGATAAACTTTGGAAGCTTTCTAGATAAAAATCAGGGCCAAAAAAATCATGTAACTGCAAGAGGTACATCTACAAACTCAAGAAAAGCAGGAAAGAAAATATGCTGGTATTTCCAAAGTCGAAAATATCTAATATTAAAAATATCTAATATTGATCAGCATTTTAAATACCTCCTGCTGGAGGTTAGGTATATTATCTGAAATACTTGTTCTCAATCATATGATTGCTATAAATACTCTTGTATCAACAAAGAGATTCTAGCTTTGCTTAATAAAAAAAATGTATCTAGATTCAGAGCAAAATCTTCACTCATTCTATATTTTCACTTAGTGAAAACCAAGAAATGTTTTTTTTTATAAAACTACTGTCAACGCAAAACTCTCACCTACACCACAGACTGCAGCAACTGGGAAACTTACCTTAACTACTTGTGGACGCTACCACAGAGCTCCAGAGCAGTTCTGCCCTGGAAAGCTGCCAAAATTAAGACATACCGTAGCTTATCCTCTCTCCCTAATCCATGAGTTTTACACTGATGTAAAACATATTTTTTTAAAGCATGTATTTTTGAGAACAGAATTTTTTATTACATTCCCTGCTATGCGTAGTTTCTGTATCTCATTTTTGTTTGGTTGAGTCTAACCTGGAGAAGAAAGGCGGCAATAAAAAGGCAGAAATAAGTGCAATAATTTTCAGTTTCACAGTATTATCCTGGGATTTGACTCAGTCTCCTGCACTACTCTGCTATTCATTAAGAATGTCTAGGTTTTTTTAACTTGTGAGAAAGTAATGATTTCAGGGAACCAACGGTAATAAAGTTCTGGGGACATGATTCTGTACTAAACAATGCAGGATTACTAAAATAACTGAGGTGGTCAATACTACACGGGAAAATAAAAATCAAAGCATTGTTCTTCCCCTGTTGCATCCTTTCACCTTGTTTCCTTTTCATCATACCTATTTCCAATAGTATTTCCCATTCTATATACTTTGTGAAATTATATGCAGTGTTACTGCTTAGGAGATTCTAATTTACAGAAAAGTAAAGGGGTTATTTTGTAATGATGAATACCATCTGCTAAAACAAAGTGTTGTATGTTCAAATATTTACATTCTTCGGTCTTCAGAGAAAACAGTGCCAGGTGTAGAATTCATTTTCCAGTTGAAATGAAGCACTACAAATCAGTACTGTATACTTTTACAGTCTCAATTACTTTAACTTTGTTGCCCAATATCTTTTTGCTTTTACTATTCTCTTAAGTTTTATTAATCTTTTTGATTTTTATTGTAATTTCTCCAGGAAAATTCAAGACAATTCAGGTTCAGTACTGTGACTCAGTTGCTCTTAATTCTGTTCAACAAAGCTAGTTGGCAAAAATCTTAGTTCAGCTTAAACGTTGTGCAACCTTTATAGGGAAAAATTTTAAACGCATCTGTACCAAAGATGGTACCAAAGAGCTTTTGAACTAGTATTGTTTATAGTTTGAAGTTTAAAAATATTACTATCTACTCTGCTTAAAAATGCTAAGAAGCCAACACTATTTTGGGAATGAAAGAGTTCATAAAGCAGCTGCATATCATACCAGGCAAGGGTAGTATGAACTAGGGTTCCAAAGAATAGTACAGTATCTGCAGCATAAAAATAATGAGTAAATCCTTTCCAAACTAATTTCCAATTCTTAGAACTCTCTTTGAAGCATTAAGACTATTTTTCTCAGCTATACTACAAAATACTGCAATTTGTTCAGCTAAAATATGTTTGCTCACTTACCACCAACATAGAATATTAATAAATTGAGGCATAAGAGAATAGCTATTTGCATTGCTCATTATACAGGTTTCCAAACTTCCTTTGAAACAACTGGGATCCTCTGCTACCAAAGAACAGATAGCAACATCTACCTATTGTGAAATTGTTCATTTCTAGTAAGCAGTTCTAAAAATTCTGAAGAATGTTTAAACAGATAAGAAGAAATAAGAAGAAATAAGAATACTCACATTGGTAGATAATGCTCCAGGACGTCTGTGAGTTTTTGTCTGGCCGTGGCTCGCGGGCTGGCCTTTAAATCCCCACCTTTTCATGACACCTTGAAACCCTTTACCAATTCTAGAAAGAAAAATAATTAAGAAACAAACCTGGGTTAGTCAGACTTAGGGTTTTTAGCAATAACCAGTAATTTCAGTCAGGCTCATCATCTTTTTACCTTTAGTAAAGCTCAGCAGAGAAGATTTTTTTTTTTTAAATAAAAATCTGTATTTTATACCATAAACATATTCTAGTCCAATACTTAAAGGTTGCTTTACAGAAGAAGCAGCACTAGAAGAGAGTAAAACAGGTAAAGAGAATAACATAGAATACTCCTTTCTGTGATGGTCCTCAATACATGGTACCATAATGAAGCTTTCATCAAGTGAACACCAGAACAAACAAAAAAAACAACCAAAAAACCTGATAAAAATCAACTGTATAACAAAACATACCAAAACTTAATGACAGGCTCCAAGCATCAAGGGAGGAAAGAAATGGCTGCTTAGACTACCATAAAAATAAATGAAGGAACATTTCTTTTCCAAGCTACAATAGACTCATCTCTTGAAAACAGTTTTATGTGAAGTAAAAACACTTAATTCTTTTCATCTGTGCTCATCTGACAAGTAAGGTCTAAAACACCGCAACAAACAAAACATATTTTCAGAGTCCATGCCTTAATCTTTGAGGCACATATTAGTATTACTGGTTTTGGAGTTCTCTGTTTACTGCAGGCACAGACTCAATAAGGAAAATTCCCTCACCACTGCATCGGAAAGCTGATTAAAGTGTGTGTTTAAACCAGCATAGTCTGTTTCCAACAGGAAAAGTCTGTCCACAGAGTTTATGGCTGCACTGATTATTTAATTAATTTAGCAAAATGATCTTTTCCTCCAATTTACAGAAATCTTTTCTCTACTAATGCACTTTGCAATGTCATTGTCCTATTAATTTGAGCATTAGAACATTGCGGCTAAACATAGAAAAATAAAACCAGGTACGAGCATCCATATGGCACGTTGTATAAATGGACCACCTTTTGCTGATTCCCCTGATCTGAAAAGTAATGCCATTAAAAACTAAAGAAAATATACAAATGGGGAAAACACCTACATTCACAAAAACTGGATTCTTTCCGCTTCCTCTTGAATAATTCTCCTCTGATTGCTGGCCTAGTTGCCTAGATCAAGTCCAACTACAGTCAAAACTAGCCACAAACGGACAGACTCCCTAAAGCTACAGAACTGTAAGGAAACAAGACTTGTGCAATTGTGGTGTCCATCTTTTGGGTTTCCCTTCCCTGCTCTGAACCCAGTGGTCAATAACAGTTAAATCTGGCACAGAAGACAGACAGCTAATTGTTTGAAATCAAAATCATTCATTAGAAAGTACTGAGAGTTTTTTTCTCCTTTCCTACAACTAAGGAAACGCTAGAACATGACTGAAGTAGTGATCTCTTCCTTTGGCTTGCCAGCTGGCCAGTTGGGCAAGTGCTTGCCACCAGCAAGAGAGTCTTTCCAGCCCAGTAGACATTGGTGCAACACAGTGATAAGGAGAGAGTCAGGGCTATGAGAAAGAGCTCAAGGCATCTGCGGAAGGGAGGACCAGGGTTATCTGGGATCAGAAACACAAGACAGAAATCTAAAGGAAGCAATGTTTTGTTACACCAGTTTCTCATGAATTAGCTTATTTTAAAAGCTTGCAGTAATGAACAGCGACAATTGTAAAAAAACGGTTTGAAAAACACGCTTTAAGAATGGCTCAAAATTTGTCTTTTTCTATGTCTGCAGATTGATGAGGGATTAGTAACTTCGAAATACGTAGCAGAAACTAAGCTACAGGAAAACTTGTATCTGTTCTCCCAAAATGCTATTTTTTCCTTAAAACTTTCTATTATTGTCCATGTTTTCCAAGCAGGCTTCTGGCGTCTCTAGCTGGAAGATGGAATTAGCAAACTCTCCAAAACCAAGGGCACGTGGGTCGCATAACAACAGCTGTGCAGTTACTAGAGCAAGCAGACTGGGGGCATGATTAACTCCTTAGCTGCAGAAATGTACTTGCAATTCAGAGAAAAACATCGAAAGCTGCCATTTCAAAAGAAAACAGTACTGTCAACTTTAATCAAGAAGCATAGATCCCTGATGTCATTAAACCACTTCAATATTTCATTCAGATTGTCCAGTTTTAGTCATGAACAATTCAGAATATTGTAAATGTAAGAAATTGTTAAGACACGCATTTTGAAAAAAAAAAAATGTTTACTTCATCAAATGCTGTAAGGTACCTTCAAAAGAAGTGATTATTTCACAAGAGAAGAGTTGCTAGTGTTTAATGATTTATGCAATAGACTACACTCATCTGCTTCTTGGTCTTTCAAATTACACACATATTTTCTGTGAACAAAGACTCAGACTTTACAATACCAAAGCCTTAGGAAATTCATAGAAAGTGTAGTCAGACTAAAAAAGAGCACTCTGATAAACCTGAAAATTCTCATGCATCAGTTGATCTGGAATATGGAAATAAATCTCCAACATCTGAAACATTCTGGCTAAAGTCAAGGAAAGATATCTCAATGCTGAAATTGAGTATTTCATAACGTGTGATGCTTCACTATGTATCAGGGTTCTTTCATCATATTAGTTCAATAATGTTTTAGAATAGTTTCATTTTTTATTTGTGAAAAATTGATTGAAGGCCTCTGAATACACTCTACAATCTCTACAAATACACTATATCTTACAACTTTTTAAACATTGATTTTCTATTCAACATGACTCAGTCACCATTATGATTGAACAAAAAAACAAGTTTTTATTAATTAAATAAGAAGCTATAGTTTTATGTAATTTTGGAGGTTTTGATTTTTTTAAAAGAATAAACAATGTATAATATTCTTTAAACAGATGTCAAGATGAAAAACAATTACACAGACAGTGTATATTTCTTTGTAGACTCATGCTCTATCTGAAACAAAGCTGGAACCAGAATAAAAACTACAGGATTATCTAAATCAAACGCAAAGTTTAAAATAAAGTAAGGAACTACTAACATCTGTTTAAATGAAATTCAGGAAGGAGGACTGTTCAGCTAGACAGTTAGAAGCTCAGCCAATATACTTGAATCACACTAGAAGTGTTTTTCCAGCCTAAATTCACCTTGATGCAACTGAGATCTGTTCTCAGACAAGTCATGGATTTCTCTACTATATGCAAAAAATAAATACTATGAATAAATTTTCTATGACTCAAAATTTATCTGTATTTCTAATGCAAAGATTTCACGTTCTTCCAATTGTATGAAATACAAAGTGCTTTCGAACTAATATACATCTTATATAAACAAGGAAGAGAACATAAGATGCACACTGTTCAAGAAATACTATGGAAAATCAGAGAAGGATTTATAGGGTTTAGTTTTCTTAAAATTTAATTCGGCCAAAAAATTGACAAATATTTCTAAGAACGTATTCTTGTTGACTTCTGAACAGATGCCAGGGCCAGCTATTAGTATCAGTTACTAATTTCAAATTGTTTAATTGTCCTCTTTGTCCTTCTTAAAAATTACTAGGGGTGAATGCATTCAGCAAGTATCACCAATAAAATACAAGAAAAATAATTAGTGAAACCAAACATAAACCAGTATTTTGCAAAAGTGAACGAAACAGAAAAATCCCTCAAAAGAATACCGGATCTTTTATTACTCAGAAAGTCTCATGAGTTCATTTCCAACAAATATTTCACAACACTAAATTAGTGTGAGCCAAATCAAAAGATTAAAACATATAGTTATCAGGTCACAAATGTTTAAATACTGTTTTTGTATACTATACACTATTTTATGTAATTTCACATTAGTCAAGACATGCACAAAAGACATCAACCAAAAACATACCTCTCCTGGAGTTACTTTTCTTATGATGATCGGCATGACAATTTAATTTAAGAATGCATCAAAAGAATCCCCGATTCCCCCTCCTCCCCCAGAAGTCCTAACTACTGGCATCCCACTACATCTTGTTCATTAAAATCTGCGAAATCTTTAAAAAGAAACACAATGCAATTTTAATTTAGAACAAACTCAAGCATGCATAAGAAGAGGTACAACTCCAAAATCTCTTAATAGGCATAGTACTGACAGCTTCAAATATTTTCAAAAAACAGTAAGGTTTATCAAAGTGGGATCTTAATCCAGAACGACACAGTAACTAAACAGAATTAATATCTAGGTTCCAGTCTGAAAGAATCAAGTTGTGCGTGCAGTATCTGAGACACAATAATTGAGAACCTACATTGAAGCAGAATGTTTGTCATCCCACTCACGCTGTTGCGATTTCTTGATAAGACATCTTCTACCTGCTGACTTGGCTTGAATCAAGGACTATATATTTTTGTTTTGACAACTAACATTAAACACCATGTCTGATCAAAAAACCATGCACCAGACCTATCTATTAAGACTTGATATGCATAATGCCACTGCTCCTCAATACATGGAATTTAGGCACTTAATTTACTTAGCTTCACTGAAGTATGATTACCTGAGTCCCAGAAAGGAATCACAGGCAGCAATGATGATATGCAAAACTAAGACACACAAATGCTAAATGAAAAGAATATAATATTTCTGTAGAACTAAAGACAGAGTTTAATTACACACAGTTGTTCTAGTCTCACCTGCAGGAAAGCAGCTGTTCAGGTGAACCACCTAATATGGCACAAAATCTCATTTTCCAGGTTTGATACAAGTAAAGTGACAGTACCTAAAGAGTCAACTTTCATTTAGAAAGCTACTGGAACAAAGCACTCTAACTAAGCAACAATTTAGTTTGCTGCTAACTCTTCAAACTTAGCTAATTCAAAAGACATTTAGATACTGTAGATGTAAGGATTCCAACTACTTAGTCAAATAATTTCAGACAATTGTAGAGCATATTTTCAGGCTCAGATTACACTGTTCATTTAGCAAAGCTTAAATAAACCATAATGCATCAGAATCACCACTTAATCCTGTTGTGCTTCAAACAAAACTACTGTTGGCTTTCTCTTCAGAGTGACAAAATTTCTGATGTTCCAAAGGTTTCCTGAAACGTTTGTGAAACAGGTTATGACGTGGCAGAAAAAGGAGGTATAATACAGCTCCACCTCCATATAGCATTGGGCTACCACGGTCAGGCATGGTCCCGCCTCTCCCCCTCCCCACATTTCAGTCATCTTTGTACTAGTGCAGAAGCGCACTCAGCTGATCAGCAAGCTGGGACATGCAACTGATCCCACTGAAACGTAACCCAGTGAAGAATACAGGTATCTCACACTGATCTTTTCCTTCATGCAACGCAGGACGCCAGTACCAGCGAGAGAAGGTTGATGGGAACTCCGTGGGAGCAAGCACCACCTTCCTTTGGGCAACAGCCTCTACTATGTCATCTTAAAGTGGTCACAGAAATGCAGCCAGAGAGAGAAGCGCTTCTGGACAGTGCCATAGCATATGGCATATGGTATTTTACCCCAAAGCATATGAGGGCTAAACCAGACCATCAGGCCACAGGAATGATGAGGTTTTTAGTCCCCAAAAAGCGCACCAAGTCTTTACATATTTTTGAAACATACCTCAAACATCAAGGAAAAGTCTTGTCGGTAAAGGTAGCTATAAAACTTCAGGATTGAGCTTTTAAATTGCTGAAAATAAGTACTAAGGAAAAAACTCAGCACTAAAGGAATACTGACAGCATGGAGATGCAGTGCCTACTGTCAGTGCTCTAAAAGCTACTCATACTGTGCTGAACAAATGATGAGACTTGAAATAAAAACAAACTTCATACATCTTTAACCGAACCTTCTCGTATCTCTGAAAGTGTTTTTCTTCACAGATGTATAAATGAATCAAAACATTTCAAAAGACTTCGACAAAACCATTTGCAAGGAAAGTTTAAAAGTAGATAGTCATAAAAACCCAGCCTACACTTTGGTAACCAAATCGAGATGCTAACCAAGACTTCTGAAAAGTAGTGCAAGCCAGCTCAAACTGTGATAACTAAGAAAAGCTTGCTCATTTTTAAGGAGTGTATTTTTGATTTATGTCTTGGTAGAAGGAAGCATACAAAAGGATATCTGGCTCATCTGAATCATTAAGAGTTGGTAAAAAATTAAAATATCCTTTATATTCCTCTATATTATCTTGTCATTGAGGTGACAGTTTTATTTCCTTTTTAAAGGAATAATTAGAATTAATCACGCTATTAACAACAGCACTGTTATTTTCATCTATATGATTTCAAACATTGCACACTTCAGTGTTTCCTCCAGTTAAACAAAATTACTAACAATCTTAAAAATTTAAAGTACATGTTCATGTAAAAACATTTCTAAAAACTTCACAAGTGGTGACAGTAAGTTTTTGGCGATGACCATCTTTTAAGTCCAAAATGGTTTGAATCGGAAAGAGAGAAGTTGCAGGAGGAAGAAGAGGAAGTCAATCTGTGCTCCCTACTGTAACTTAGCATTAAATCCTTAAGTACCTTTCAAAACACCACTATAGTTTAGCATCTTCCAAGTACCTACATTATTTCTGAAATTGGGACTTTAGAGAGGAATGTACAAAGGCTCATTTCAGCCTGTGGACCAAACCTCCCCAGGTTCCCTCCTTGTTCAGTAGGGAGAAGCTGGCTCCTCTTGAGGGGGGGTTCAGAACACAAATATAACATGAAGTACATTTCCTTTTTTCCCCCCACAGTGCAGCTGAAATGCTATAGCTCAATGCTATAATCATTCCCAAAATAACATTTTTTGCCCTCACTGAAGCATTTCTTGGATATTTTTGTGACATTGTGAAATCTGTACTTCTAGGTACACTAACTAAGAATGACAGATAGACTATTCTGAAATATAATGAAAAAACAAACCCCACCCAAGTATGAGACTAAGCAACACTGAATGAAATTGCATGGATTAAAGTAAAAGACCCAAAGAAAAATGGAAACATAGTAAAATAATCTAATTCTTGCCCAAGAGTTAAGGGAGTATGATAAATGCAGTATTCCAGAAAAGTGGAAATTAAGAATAAAGAAATATTAAAAGTAGAAATCAGAATGCAAGTGAGCCACAGAGAAAAGTTAAAAAAATCCCTGGATACAGAAAGACTGGAATGATTAGAAAATCATATTGACAGAAAACTCCTGATAAAAAAATATAAATCTGATCTTTCTCTTTAGCTTAAGAATTTTTTCTTCTCCTTTTATATTTGGCACCTGTATAGTAGGATTTCACGTAATATGCCACCAAAATCAGCAGTACAAACAAAAAGCTAATATCTGAAATGGGATCATGCAAATATCAGGAGAAAATAAATTAGAAACACTGAATTAAAAGATAGGATGGATTCACTGAACACGACCAAGAACCCAGTCTATTTTTAGCTTGCTAGTATTTTTAAATACATATAACAAGATACAAATTGATATCCTGTGACTGCTTACCAGTATCTGTTACATTGCCAAAAAAACCTTCCCTAGTTCTTGAAATACTTCTAGAAAAACAAAGCTCTCCTGCATTAACAAAGCGTGACACTTAATCTACACAGAATGACTGTGTTCCTAATGACACTGTGCTTTGCAAACCAGCTACTGTCTCTTATGGGCTGTTCACTGAATGCAATTTAGAAGCAGAACGAATAATACACCATATGTAAGCATCATGTAAGTAAGTTTGACATAGAAAAATACTAATTCCAGTGAACTCCTTGACTTCCTGTTCTCAATAGGGTGCTCTCATAGTGTAGTCAGGTGTAGCTATATTGGAACCGACTACTTGGCTGCACCAATACAGTTGGTTTCTCCATAAATATAGAGCCCTGTGAATAATACTAGACATTTAAGTATTACACATGCGAGACAACCACAATGGATGGTATTTCAACAAGGTCAGTTGGGTATAATCTCCATTACATAAAAAATTAAACATCAAATGGAAAATATTATTCTGGTATCACAACACAACAAAAATACACTTCACTGAAATATGGAGATAGGAGTTCTCTTGGGCAGTGGAAATCATGGATGTAATAGAAGAGGCATGACTAGTCTTCGCGGCAAGATGCCAGTTTTCCTTTTGACACCCTCTACCACTTGAGCTCTAATTTGGCATTCACAGTGGTCTGAGAGGAAATCATTCCTCCCACGTTAAGTAAAAGATCATTAGCCATTGCTGGCAGAGGAGATGAGCTGGAACATGAGAGAAAACAAAAAAGGAATTTGACAGCTCTGTTGTTCAGCTAAATGTATTCACTATCTTTTCTCTTTTTTTTAGTCTGTATGATACATCTCTCTCTGCATCTCTTCACCAAATCAAAATTAAGCTGTCTTTCTGGGAATTGATGTCTTTCGTAATTTATTTCCCACTTCTACATACCACAGATGCTGCATTATAGACCTCTTTGCCCACGCTAAGATTGAGCACCTCTTTCTCAAGCTATTTGTCAAGCCCTTCCATGCTAATCATGTACGTGTGACAGACAACACAAGCAGAACTATAGCACTAATAGTAGTATTTGTTTACCTATGCTCAAAATCAAAAACAAGCCTCAGAGAAAGATAATTTGATATTTTTGACCCAATGGCTGATTGGACTTCTATTTTCTGCCACTACCCTTGCAATTGTATTTCAGCTTTTGTGAGCCATGAGCTCAAGCTAACGTGGAGGGGGGGTGGGGGTGAGAAATTCAACCAGACTATTTAAAAGATGAACCATACGTGTTAAATCATTAGGAACCTACGTTTTTGCAGTAACGTCCACGAACTGCCCTGGGCGGAAGTGAGCAGCATACAAAGGAGTACCTTCAAAAGAAGAGGAGAGATCATGTTCAACTAAGTGCTGAAATCCTCAAGACACTATCCAGTCATTACCATCCAGGGTAGACTACAGTCATAGGAACGGAAACAAATCTTTGTTTTTATTCACATATTATTTGTTTTTCTTTATAAACCTCACTGACTAAAATAGATGCTTTGTAGTTACTACTTAAGCACATTTCTCAGTTCCTAGCCCAATTACAGATGAGCAGGAAGGGAGCGTCAGGGCCTTACTCAGATATGTTGCACTTTAGACACTGAAAGAGACAAAGCCCAAAATGCTTAATTAGTTAAGACTCACAATAAACGAACTTGCCAGGAAAACAGAACATGCTCCACTTATAACTACTAGCACTTCACAAGGTGAAGTTTGTTTGTTTTTTTTTTTTTTTTCAAAAAAAGCAAAGCAAACCCAAAACACTTCCTTTAATGAAGCTGAGAATAGAATAATATTTTCCAATGCTTCCTCTCCGTTAAGACACAGTGTTTCCAAACTAAAGACTGTGAGAAGTACAGCTTCATCCACTGGGGTATTACCTATACACTAGCCTTTAGTAGTAGTACTACTGTCAGACAGTGACATCACTCACCTGACTACAACTACACTCATTCCCCTAAGTGCCTGTAGTATCAAAGTTTTAATTTTAATTACAGATTTATTTTGTCTTCAGCAATTTTTTTCATTCAAGTGCAATATTCTTTTATTAGCAGCTTTTAAAAGAAAAACAGAATTGATAATTTTGTTCATTATAATGAACTTCAATCTGAAGATCCACACGGTTGCATCTTTAACAGTTTCCAGACTGTTTTAGATCAATTAAAAAAATGAAATGTTAATTGCTTCATGTCCACACTCATTTTCATGCTGTTTTCAAATCTGTAGGAATGCAACCTGAAATGATGTAAACCTCTTCTAAGCTTCAAGCATAAAAATCCTCATACTATTTCATGTTATATTTATATGATCCATACGTATCTGGGGTAAGATGTGTGTCAGCAGCAAGCAATGGATAGAATATTATGTACATGAAGTATGTTATATACAAAATACACATACTGCAAAATCAGTTTATTGAAAACTTGAAATTCTGCTTTAAGTTTTTGCTTGCACTTATCAGTCCAGACTTCCTCTTCATGACAGAAATAGTTTTTATCAGTTACTGCACTGTCTTAAAAAGGTCTTGCAAAAACCTTCTCTAATGGCGAATAAAGATGTAATATATTAGAATTTCCCACACCACATAATTCTTGGGAAAATACCTATAACTGTTAAAAAACACAAAATAAAAGCAACCTAAATATACTATCTAACAAAACCTTAAAAAGATAAAAACTTTTCCTTAAATCTCCAAATCTCTAATACTAATTTTTAGTGAGATCATTTGTTATAACATGTTTTAACACATTTTACTTTGTAAGTTGTAAGAAAAAAAATCATCTATGACAGCCATCAAGTCCTTCTTCTGAATGCAGCAAGAAGAAACAAACCTCAAACTGCAATTTTAGGCTCCTGAGAAACATTACCACAAACTTCTCAGTGCCTCTCTCATAAGGATAACTGGAGAACTTCTAGTATATGCATTCATATTTATTCCCAAGAAGTGAGTCAAGGTTAGACACATTTATTTCTTAACCTAACATTCATATTAACTAGTTTGGATCAGATTAATTTTCTAAGCTATGGAAACATACTACCAAGGAAAAAGGAAAAATCCTACTTCCCATGACCTTGAAAGTAAGCTTTCAAGCATTTTCCAGCTTCTCCCTAAGAAAAAGAGTTTGTTTGTGCTCAATGACAAAGAAATAAGAATTTCGCAATTTCCATGGAAAACAGAAACGAAATACACATCCTAACTTGGTTTAGATTGACAAGAAATGGTAGACATTAAATGATTATGCAGTTAATACTCAGTAGCTCAAAAAGATTACCCGGTTTAATTATGGCATCATCTGTTACATTAAATGTTGTAACTTTCTGCTTCCGTGGTACTCCAGCTTCTTCAAAAATTTCCATTGCAGACTTTGATTTCTGTAACAAAGAGCAGCCATAAAAAGAAGTGATCTGAAAATACCCAAGGATCAACCTAGCACACAACACCATTAGACTGTCAACACCACTCAGAGAAACAAATATATCATACTACACTTTTATCTTGAGACTAGCATTTTAACTCTATAAAACTAATTTAAAACTCATGTCTGTATTTTGTCAACTAGTTACCCTCCAACTACATCATATAAACAAGAGATGTATGACGATTTCTAAGATCAGAAAAGGGAAAACAATCATTTTGAATGTATATAAAACATATTACTGCTTTTTCATGACTTTCAAAGAGTTTTGTAGTAATTTAAAAGCATTTTCTCTTTTTCAAAGCTACTAATTACTTAGTTTCAGACCACTACAAATTGCATTTATTTGACTTAACTAACAAAACCAGAGAAATAAACCTGGTCTTCCAGAAACTTCTGGAAATGATTAATTTCCCACAGAACAGAATCTAGAGTCTCTGGACAAAAAAAGGAAAACTTAAGAACAAGTTTATGATTCATGTGTTTTTAAGATATACCAAGTACACTCAGTGTCAAACCACTACTGGCTTACTAAAGAAGGGCTCTTCTTTTTAGAGGATTCTGACAAAGTTTAAAAGACTTAAGATTGTTCTCAGCTGTTTTAAATAAGACAAACTCACAGAACAGCTGACCACTGAGATGACACCAAGCAATGGAAACAGTGATGTAAGAAAACTGCAGTCATAGGAAAAAAAGTAATGCAGTTGATTTTTCTTCAAATGAATTATCCTAGGAAGCAATTTAAGCATCTGACAATACTGTCACACTTGGATAGCCACATCTCTGAGCTTCACTTATCAAAAGTTCTGTAGAGTTCTCTCTCTTTCAAAACCATTTTTTTGTATTTTTAGCCAAAGTAATGTGAATAACTTTAAAATCGTTACTTAGCTTATTTTGAAAATCTGCATGTTGCTCTTCCTTTTTTTTTAAAAAAAAAAAAAAACAAAAATGAGAAAAAAATGTTTAAAAGTGTTAGGAGAACAGAGGAAGTTTTGTGAAGAATGAGGGAGCAAGACAATGAGGATCTCTGACACAAACCAGAAATTTTAACTTTATTAATCTGTCCTTATTTGAGGAGAAAGTGTGGACACAAAGTCTTTGAGAGTGAAAAGGTTTTTCAGAGTGATTAGTTAAACTGAGTTCATAGTACAAAACACTTCAAACACTCTTTTTTAAAAAAAAAAAAGTCATCAACTACATGTAAAATCTCCTGTAAGACCACAAAAACTTGAAGGATCAATGGAGCACAGGTGTATTAAACTGTAGTACCATGTGTAAGAACTAAAAATAAAGAAATTCCCTTTCTACTAAATGCCTGCGTATCGATCCTTTATTTTCACTGTTACGTCAAACCGCCTCCTCAGATGACAGCAAGGGGAGCTCTGTGCTCAGCATGGGTGCCTGGAAAGAGCCACCATAGCTGCAGAAAAGCACAGGGAAGTCCAAGAGTAAAGATCGCATACGCCTCAGGAGTCCTACAGTAGCCTTGCACTGTTCTACTTCAAATTTTCTTCAGTCAAGTCAGAGAGATGTATTTCTACGAATAAAACACTGAAGTCTTTACAAAGCCTTCCTAAAAAAGCGATACTGAAGAGAAGAACGCTGAGTAAATTCTCAGATGATAAAATATTTTTGACAAAAGATTTTTAGAACACTGACAGAATTGTACTTTTGAGAATAATTTTGCATTAAAAAAATAATGAAAAATCTGTTCACTTGTAATAGACTGACATACATCAAGCTAAAATGGAAAAAAAATCTGGCTAAAAATGCAATACCTTTTATCATTTTTTAAGCAACTTGACACTCAAAAGAAACACATGAAACTCTTTGTTAGTAAAATTACTGAAGGGATAATTAGATTAAATTCATTAAAAATCAGTAGCTGTGAGGAATCTGAGGAAGACAGATGTTCCTATGAGGAATTAGCAGAAGATAAACTGCTTATGCTAATACAATACAGTATAACTCAGCTTTCTTTTAATTCTCACTTTCAGACACTTCAGAGAGAAAAGTAAAACACAAAAAGATTGATAAATATAGGAGCTAAACCACAGAAAGACATAGAATTGTTAGTAACTTAACAATTAAAATTGCTTCAAATCAGCATGACATTCTTTTAGAAGTTACACAGTTTATACAATGATGATGATAACGAGAATAATAATACACAGCTCAGGCTCAGGCCAGGTCCTCACCACAGACTGGTCTAAGGATATTTAATTAATTTTTTTTACAATGAGTCTAAATTCAACCAAATTAATAGGAGCTAACTTGAAAAAAGTTATATCCAAGAGAATCTTTAACATAACTCAAACTACTAAAAAAATTCTTGAGTTGACTTTTTAGGTAGTTTGGCTTTGAAGAAATTTTCTTAATTTACAAGAGCTGGTTAAATAGAAATTTTCTATATCCCTCCTTGCTTCCTGCACATTTTTACTCTGACAACATATTGAATCACTGATGATGTTATCAGTTATCTTTATGGAAAGACCAACTGTAACGAGTCTAATGTGCATAATACAACTTGAAAATTATTATGCAAAGGATTCTTGCATGTCTTAAACCAAGGTAACAAGGAAGAAAAAACACAGCTGTAATTTCTCCAGGAAAAATGTCACACCTGGAAAGTGGAAATGGACTAAAGTGACAGGACAGACACCTGAAACGTACAAGCAATGACAGTGAAACATGGCATAAACCCACTGAATAAAAAGAAGGATACCTTAAAATACAAGCCTGTTCAAAATCAGTAGAATATACTATAAAAGCCAAGAGATTTATCAAATGAAAAAAGCTCCTTCTTCCCTCACCTCTGCTAAAGCAAAAACAAGTACACAGATAAATTTTGAGGCTCTGGGACAACCTTCTGTCTGAAAAGGGGAAACATATGCCCTCAAAAAGCCACAATCACCAACTGAGATAATCTGCTTAGTAATCACCAGTCTTATTTTTTTATATTTGCCTAAATCAGATAAATGAGTGTCAGGATACTGCAAGAAGTGAAAAGTGATATTTTATAGAAATAACAGGTCATAGAAACTGCAATCCTTTGAGGGAAAGCTTTGATCCTGCCTTGATCTAGAATTCAATTTTCCTCCTCAGGAATGACAGCTCTGCTAGACAACCTTAGCCACTGGTGTCTGGGAATTCCACATTAGGCATTTGGGATATCTAAACAAGCGAGTAGTTTTGACATTGCTGTTGATGAGCTATAATCACAAAGCTATCTTCCTGAAAATTTAAGTCTTAAACTTATTCATCAGCAAAACTACATGCAAATCAGACAATCTCAACAGACGTGTGGAAAAATTACAACTAAAGCTAATAAAATACTACGGAACAGCTAGAGAACAAAGTCTTCTTCTGAACAACCGATGAAGCTGGATAAGTTTACAACCAGCCACTAAAGTGTGTATCTTGCAGTCCTCGTCTCGTATTGCATCTCCACAGATTCGGCAAACGCAAATGTTTCTACACTGCTAATGGCCCTCCAGACCCTTCCATTGGCATGGGACACTGCACATCAAAGCAACTTCCTAAGCCCATACTTTCCTAGAGAATCAAGAGGGAAAACTTTCAAAAAGTTCTTCTTGCTAATTCTCTTAACCAAGAATTGACACTAGCATTAAGGAAATAAGCAAGGGTGAATGCGACAAAAGAACAGTTCCAAAGCACGCACATCTGCCAGTTAATCTTTTAGAGAAGTCTACCTGTGCTGCTTTTGTACTGTAATCACAACAGAAACAGCTACTCTAATAAAAACACTCAAAGTGGTTCACTTACAAAAAAAGGAGATGCGTTTTTGCCTCCAACAAGCAGCTTAGATGTTTTTCCACCCGACTCTTCCTTTGAAACATATCTTAAAACATGGCAATCTTGCACCTTAAGAAAAGAAAAATAGTGTTTATTTGAGTATAAGCTGTTATGTATGCTTTGAGACCATAGTAACAGATTATCAAAACAAGGGAAACAAAGTCAGTCCCTGTTTTCGTTTATATCTATACAACAGGAGATACAGCCTACAAGTAGGGGAGTGTGTTACCTTTTTACCATTGACATTGTTTTTCCAATCAATTAAAGGCTTATGTTAGAAAAAAAATTTAGTAAAATATAAACTATATTTTCATAAATGCTCTAGAAATCAAATAAACTTTTGTAGTCATCTTCTGTGTGCAAGATCTGCAAAATCCCTACTGTATGCAGCCACAGAGCATACAGTAAGACCCTATATTTTAGAGTCCTGCTCCTTTGCCCTGCAAACCTGATGTCCCTCACAGCACTGGCTCATGATATGGCAGCAACAGGTCAGCGAACCACTTCATCACAGTCGTAGCTGCCAGAGAATACAAAGAAGCAGTTTCAGGGCTACAAAGGCTCAGAAACCAAGGGGAAACTAATCCCAAAGTGCCTGAAGGTGGCAAAATAAAAAAGTGAAGTGGGGTAGTGAACCCCAGCTTCATGTTGTCTCCCATCTTCCCTCACCTAGGTAATATTACGCACAGCTCTGCAGCACTTGAATAGCTAAGGCAGAAGGCAGACTGCTCCTAGAAAGTTCGGGATATAAACAGAGAATAGACATGGTGTACTAAGCAAGGCTGAAAGAAATCTTTCGTTTCCTTAGGGATTACCTACTCTGTACAAGTGGTAAGTTTCATTTTGCTTGAAACTTCTGGTTAACGATCTGAATACAGCATAGGAGATTAAATTCATTATGATTGATTTCACCTTAAGTAGCGTGACAGCATGTTTTTTTCCTGACTTGGTCCATATCGGCATCATTCCCAGTTTCACTGCAACAACACCAACTCTGACGGAATCTGTAGATCAAAGCAGAATATGGATGCAACTCCAAACTTAATATTTGAAAGAGCCCATCTCATCACCTGCAAAGTCCCATTAACTCTTATCTTTCCGAAGGACTTGAAGAAGGAGAGAAAACATCGCTGACTCCATGCAGGTAGGCTGGGACTAATCTGTTAATTGTTTTTAATCCCACTACTAGTAAAGTTCTATCTGTTCCAATTGTGTTTGATAGAACATACAAACTAGTTTTCCATTAAGATTAGAACAACCAATGCTTCAGACTCATTTTGTTTAGAAAATACAACACCCATGTAGAATATTAGAGCCAAACTATGGAAAAGTTTACTGTAGGAGGTTCCTCCCACCCCAACCTTTGCACATTTTTGTCACTGTAACTGTACAGCAAAGGCAACCTGTCATATCTGGCTTCTGACAGCCTATGGTGTGAAAAACAGAACACTTAAGATGAAGACGAAATGCTTTAAAGTTTGTAAAATGCTCTTTGTTCCAGTTTCCACTGTCATACCTGAGGATCTTCTCATGGATTTGCAGACTGTCAGGTGGCTGTTTGCTGTCAAATGATACAACCCTTTTGAAGGCTCAAAAACTTTATACTGTGTTCTAGTCCACAGGACTTTGGAATCACTGAATAAAAGTGGGATGTGTTATATACTACAGTTTTTCTTCAAAGTTCAATGATATTAGCAAGAACATTTGGAAGTTCACATACTTTATAATCTAGGGAGTCTTTTTGATGAATTCTTACTTTATTGTCTTGTCATTGTGCAGCAGTGGGACTGGCCAAGTGCTAATTTGGACTAAAACCAAAGCTCTTACAAGGTTCTTAGCACCCTGTAATATTTTAAATGCTTTTTAGAGAACTGATGCATTACATTTACTTTTTTAATAGGAGATGCATTGGATGATTGAGGTAAAAGCAAAAAGGAGAGTACTTTACAAGACACAACCCTGATGTTACTGAGTGCAACAACACAACAACAATAATTTCAGCATTTCTCACCTGGTTTCCACTCATTCAGTGGCCACGGCTCATCTTTCAGAGGGCACAGCTTGCTGGCTGTCTGAGCTTTGATTTCCTCCGCAGTTATCTTCTTGAGGAATTGCAAATTCTCTTCAGAGAGATGCTCATGCCACCACGTTGTACTGTTAACATGCCTGACTACAAAGCCCAGCTGTCCCCTTTCCAGTGGTGGGAAAAAGTTTTAAGCATCTTATCAGTTCAAATAATGCCTCGTAACACACATGTTCATAATGTAATACATACTACATAGTTATATCATTACATTAAACAGTCATAAAGACCTAAATTATACTAGCAAGCTATTTAGCACCATCACTCAAACTGGCCACCCTTGACCAACAACACCTGATTATTTGTCATGTTCTCATCCAACTTTTAAAGTATTCTAAAATACATCAAAGAGGGACAAGCAACAAGAAATCAACCAACCACTCCTTCTATGACAAAAAAAAAGCACTAGATCTCTGAATGAAGAAATAGCACGGGGTGTCGTTTACTTTGACTTTAGCAAGGCTTTCAACACAGTCTCCTGTGGCATCCTTCAATCCCAGCTAGGATGTTATGGCACGGATAGCAGGGCTATCAGATGGGCAAAAACCTGGCTGGATCATCAGGCTGAAAAAGTCATGGTTAATGGTTTGCACTCTACCAGAAGTAGAGTTCCCTCAAAAGTCTATTCGGGGACCTTCCCTGCTCACTATCTTTATCAGTGACCTGTGAGAGGGGATAAGTGCACCTTTCTTAAGTCTGCAAATAAAACTGAACTGAAGGGAGCAGTTGATAATGCTCAAGGGTGTCCATCTGCCAGAGAGACAGGCCAACAAGGAATCTGATGAAATTAATACAGGAAAGATGCAAAGTCCCACACCTGGGATAGAATAACCTCTTGCAAGGGTAGAGGCTGTGACTTCAGCAGAGCTGCTTCCCAGACAGGCAAAGGACCTGACGGGCAAAAGGTAAAAAAGGAGCCAGCAAGCTCCTTGCAGCAATGAAGACTAACAGCAGCCTGGCCTGTATCAACAGCAGCGCAGTCAGGAGATCAAGGGAAGCAGTTATCGTCCTTCCTTCAGCACTCCAAGCAGACGCCATCCACAATACTAACTTCCGGTTCGGATCCCCAGAACAACAGGGGCGTTTATAAACAAGCGAGTACAGCATTGTTACACAAAGACAGAAGGGCTGGAGTACTCGTCCTATGAGGAGGACTGAAGTAACCCGGCTTGTTTAGTCTGGAGAGGAGGATGCTTAGGGGAGGACCCGACAGCAGCTTTTTAATATCTGCGAGAAGGTCCCCAACCAGACAGGGCTAGGCTATGTTTACCGAGGTGGATGCCAGGAGAATGCGAGACTTGGGGCTATCACCGAGGCCCGAGTGCCGCGGCAGTACGCCGGGGCCCGACCGCCTTCGCACGGCCATGCTCCCCGGGCGCTGCCGACGGGCTGCGCCCAGACGCCTCTCCAAACAGCGGTG